CAAACTAGTGCCCGTAGGAAAAAACAATAAGAGATAAAAAATTGATAAATAACTTGTAGTAATTAAAAAAATTATCTTGATAAAAGTTTAAGTGCACACAAAAAAGTTCTGAACAAGACAAAAGTAGGAGTTCCACATTTCTACCCGGTATAAAAGTAAACTGAACTACAAAACACTACCATAGAATGGCTTTCAATTATCTTATAATGTGTAACAAAATTTAAGTTCCCAATATTTAACCGTTTTAAAGAAAAACAACAAAAACTAATATTTTTCGCCATTCTGGAGATCAAATATCTCAAAAATGAGACCTCAAATTAAAAAAGTTCTTAGGAAGACCCCCTCTAAAATGACTAGGAGAACACGCTGCTAAAATATTTTAACATATTTAGGGAACACCCTGCATAAATAACAATTATAAAGAAAATCAAACACAATTTTAGTTTATTCACTGAGGTACCATGATTTATACGATAATGTTTATTGAGATTTCCCTATGTTGAAAAGCTTTTTTGACAAATATTGCAAACATTGGAAATAGACATAACTAATGATGTAAAACGATATAAAAGTTATTATTTGTACGTTATTACGACAAAACACTGATACTACTTCGACACATTCAAGTCAAAACGTGGTCAGACATAAAGCAAACCCCTTCACTTCCCACTTTTAACAGTTCTAACCTCACCTTTGTAAGATTTGACACTTGACACGATACCTGACATAACATTAGATACTGGCAACGTTGTGTTCCAAGGGGGCTACAACTAGCCGCTTCTCTGTCTTACCTCATCACAGTGAAAGCGGTGTTGCCATATTGCGAAGTAATATGGAGCCATGTGCCAGCCAATTGCGCCAATACAGAGCAACTACATCGACGTAAAAATAACGCAACGCTAAAACCCCTGCTCCTGATATTTTCTCGCTAATAAAGGGCATCTGCACCGCCAAAAAAAATAGCGGAACGGCAACGGTAAAACTATCGAGACCTTTTTGGAGCAAAAATTCGCATCACCAACTGATTGTATCTTCTAAAAATGAAAAACATGTATTTTCAAAATGTTTATTTTTAACAATAAGTGCTTTTAATACAATTTGAGGCTTAATTAACAACACGTACACCTTTAATGATCAAACGCAAGAATCAATCGATGGATAGTTGCCGGAAGCTGCCATCGATGCCGAACAGATCGTCGTAGTTTGTCGGCTTCCCCGGACGCTTCGACTCGTCGGCCTTCAAGTCCTCCTGCGCCCTAAACCACGGCCCATATTCTTCCAGCTTCTTCATCCAGGCCTCTGAAACCCAATCGCCCGTTCAGAACCTTCAATCACTCGCCAAAATCTCTCGCCACTTACCGTGAAACTCCTGCAGTTTCCCGGCAGTGCCGCCATACTCCTCCGGCAAAATCTCCTTGGGGATCTTCTCGTGCAACGTGTCGAAGCTGGAATGCAGATAGATCCGGTTCCGGATCTTCTCCTTGAGGAAGGGCTTGACGAACTGGACTATCGTATCGACCAATGGCGACACGTTCACCACATGGACCTCCTTCAGCTTCACCGGATAGGCTTCCTGCCATTGAATTGAACTCGATTTAAGTACGACGCTGCGCAGCGAAGCTGGCAAACTCACCTGCACGCAAACCAGAAACTTCTTGGCCAGCGAGGGTGAAACTTTGGAAAAATGGCTGGCACTGGCAACGCTGGCGTCCAGAATGTACACGTCGCCGGCCACGCCAGTCTCCTCCGCCGCCAATCGGACGTCGCCGATCATCAGCACCACTTTGGCAACATCGCCCAGGGGCGGGGTGTCGATGTCCTTGTCTTTGCCACGCATCACAACGATTCGCTTGCCGTCGGGCGTGAGACCTGGCAACGGCGGCAAGTGGCTGAACGACGGAAAAAACACAGTTTGGACTCGGAAAAAACCCAAAGGGGCTTACCCGAGTTGCGCAATGTGTTGCAGTTCAGGTCGAGTGATGTCGCGGTTGGCAAAGAACTCTGGACACGCTGTGCGCATCGTAAAGTACATATCCAGCTTTCGTTTGGTTTTTTCCAGGGAGAATTTGCAGCCGCGCAGGAACGTCATTATTCTCTCATCGTCTAAAGACAGTGAATCAATTATCACGAAGAATCAAAATAGACTTTCGAGGCCATTCCTTCAAACTAATGCGTT